ATGCATACCGCAAACTCATTTACGGAAGTAAAATACAGTATGAGAAAGTGTATAAAATGTCCCAGACATTTTGCTTCCGATCAGGAAAAACGCAAACAAAACACAAAGAACAAAGTCTAAAAATGAGCAATATTGTCAATATTCAGAGGAATGCTCCAGTAATTTGCAAAAAAAGCCATCCCTAAATTTAATAGCATCTTTATTATCCTAAAAAAGAGAGATCAGACCAAGTTTAACTGTACTCAATACACCCAGAGGACAGAGCCAGTCAGCCAGAGGGGAGTGAAAACCATTGCAAATTAACAAGCTTGAATCAAGCTTGTAGAATGTAGCTTGATCAACAAGGTGCAAGATGCCAAGAAGTCTATTAATCTATGATTATTGACTTTGCATTTGACAAGGCAAACAAGATAACATACTAGACTTTTAACAACCACTGTTGAAATCTAACAGTAAAATATTTTGTATCAGCACTCACACAGTCATGTCAGTCATCATGTTTAATGTTTTAAATTAATCTAAAATAGACTAGAAAGGATCAATAGAGAGACTAGTATAGATTCACTGGGAGGATTGAATATTGATTCATCGTAATTGTTTGACTGAAAATACTCTGAATTGGCATTAAATATCAGTGAAAGCTCCAGTGCATGACATTTTCAAATCCCATAAGAGTTCTATTGAAAAAACAGCATAACCAAAACTCAAAAGATCAGTTATTGATTCTTTTTCATGAAATATAGTTTTTCATAGCGTAACTAAGTCATGTCAAAAGTAAAATCTATATTTGATATATATCACTGTACAGAGGTCGATCAACTATACAGGGTGTATAAAAAAAAATTCGAATCGAAGTTTTGCGTGTAATAATGCAAAATATATTTGACGCAAATTTGGTTGATTTTTACGCTATTGTTAAGTTCATTCATTTCTCTTTCAAATGACACGTTGTACGTGTAATTTAGTGTACAGACTGTACTGTGTGTATAAAAAAATTCGAATCCAAATTTTGACAACCTGCTGTGTATAAAATACTAAAGAAAACGATATAATTTTTATATGGCTTATGGCAACAAAGATTAGCCCGTTCTTATATCGACACGACCAAAACTGGCCGAGTTATCGTCTTTTAAAAATTGTTGCTCGAAATCAAATTTTTCCGCCGATGGGAATTCGAAATAAGACCTCCAGACAAAAGAAAATGCAAATTTAATTAATGAAGGCATTGTGTTCTTCAAACTTCTATCGTTGAACATTGAATAAGCAAAATTTTTGCGATAAATTTGCGTTTTAGTTTACAGTAATGATTAGATTTTAAACCGCTTTGGGACTAATTTTCAATAAAACAAACGTCCAGTTCCCATCGGCGGAAAAATTGTGATTTTCATGAACTTTTTTTGTCGAACCAGTACTTCTTCATTTTTCAACTAAATTACACGTACAACGTGTCATTTGAAAGAGAAATAAATGAACTTAACAAAGGGGTAAAAATCAACCAAATTTGTCATATATATTTTGCATTATTACACGCAAAATTTCGATTCGAATTTTTTTGATACACCCTGTATTTCAAAAGAAAGCAAATAATCGATCGCGCCAGTCATTTGCACTAAATGGCAATTACCCTTAACGACCTTAACTGTCATCATGCATAAATTTATTCAGATCTATTTACATATACAGTATAAAAATAATATTTTGATCTACCACAATAATACTATTTTATAACAGTTTTACTGTATCTCAGTATACGAATCGGTACATACATACATAAGAATCAGACCCCTAACTAGGTGCTAAATAATTTGGGGAGCAATTTTAAAATATATTCATCTTGTGCCCGACTGATTTTTTTTGAAAGCGATTGTTTTTAAAGTATCGGAATGTGAATTTATGAATATACACCCTTAATATCACAAGAATATAATATTAAATTCCTTAATGGCTTGCGTTGCAAGTTCCAAAACAGATTGTGTTGTCGAACACGGTCACCCCTAGTTTGCAACTTTCGATCCAATTAATAGTTGCATTGCAAATTGTATGAAAGTTAACTGTAGCGTCTGACACCCCCAACTGCAACTAGTCTCGTAATAGTTGAAAAATTAGGCAAAAGCAGTTTAACACTACAGACTAGCTTGCGAACAGGATGAACTTTTGCGGACGAATAAAATAATTTCAGTTTGCGCAACCGAGTTGCACCCTTCTGACATGTAATTGCAACTTAATTGCAATATTTTTGTTTTAAACAAATTGCATTGGCCTTAGTTTAAACAGTCTGAAGGAATAGAGCGAAGGAATCATTTTCGGGCGTGACTAACTCACCGTCTCATGTAGACAGACCCTAAGGGGCAAGGGCTGATTTCATGCATGCTGGCGCAGTTACTATAGCTGGTAATTTGGCGCCCCCTGGATCGCACATTACCGCTGGTAATTTGTATGTATGTGCGATCCTCTTAAGGCGGATTTCCACTTACAGCGAAATCGTTCGCTAGCGAAATATTTGCATATTTTCTTTTGAATTTTAACAGCATAAATCAATTAGTTCGACTTGACTGTTCCGAATTCAAAAGAAAATATGCAAATATTTCGCTAGCGAACGATTTCGCTGTAAGTGGAAATCCGCCTTTAGAAGCATGATGCGCGTGAGGTCTGGGCCATGCGCTTAAAAATTTAGGAATCCCTTGTTCCTGCAAAGCCATTTTGTGCGTTTTGATAAGCGATTTGACAAAGAAACTGATCAATAAGCTGCAAATGCATCGAGTGGTAAAGGAAATGGATAAATTATTTCGATATATTAAATAGTAAGATGGTGAACGCGTGAATGAGATTATGTTGCGAAAACCAATTGGGAAAATTAGTAACTTTTTGCCAGACCGGTTTACCCTCGGGATATCATGTGCCTCATATACTTGAATTTTAGAAATTATTTCTCTCAGCAAGGCTAGCCCAGGAAAGCAGGCTAGCCTGTTCCATGTAATCTGCCTCTAAGAGATAACTGCTGGTTTTCGTGAAAATCTATTTCCGTTTGTGACGAAACAGTAATTGGACATATTGGAATATGCAATAGTTGTTTTTGGACCTCTGTAGTTTCAATTTCCAGTATATTACCCAGTAATTTGGTATTTCTACCCAGTATTTCGTTGCTCTGCAGTAAGGTTGTGTTATTAGGCGCACATATAGAGAGTAAATAAAGCGAATTCAACGTTTCGAAAAATGCCTAAATTGACCACACTTAACCAAAAATTTAATGTTAAACAATACCTATCACCTTTTGCCAGAAGCGCAACAGGTTCTAACCCAGAGATATCATCCAACTACTTTTTTCCTGCCTCAATAGGCTGCACTAGTCCATCCCAATGGCGAATCAATATTACTTTGTGTTTTTGTTCGCAAATTACTCAGAAAATTAGAAAGTTAGTGAAAATCTGTAACAGAATTTTGGAACTATTGATAAAATTCTTTTAAATGAGAATTAAAAGAGAAATTTTTATTACCATTTTCCTGTAAGTAAATTTTACCGAGCACCTAAAGCTACATATTGGTTACTTTAAAAGTATTGAAAAACTTCTCCATTTTCGATGTTCCAAGTTTTTATGGTCTTAATAACAAAGGTAGAATGTATATAAAACCAAACATTTTGCACAGTAGGGTTAAGCTTCGTTGAAGTATTAAGTCGTTGCTTAATTATGGGGCAAAAGACGTATAGATTTTCTAAGTGCCGAAATTTTCGCCCCCAATGTCTACATTTAACTTCCCAGAGTAAAGGGTTAAAAACTGAAAAAAAAATGAGAAAAAATGTAGACAGTTGTTGCACGCAATTGGTTTATCTTACCATTCTCCATTTTAATGGCTTTGTTCTTTTGGTATTATTCTAATTTATGCTAAAACTTTTACAGTATTTTCCCCAAGTAAATTTTCGCAAGGTTATGTAACTTCTAGCATTGATTGTATCTCAAAAACTGTTGAATATCACGGTGTCGATGAAATTTTCCGAGAATATTCTCTAGATAAAGAATATAGACGTCTGTAGACGTATCACAGAGTAATAACTACACTCCGTGAAAGACTTGTCAGACTCTTCTTTAAACTCGAACTTTCAACTTTCAAAAATATGGTGGTTGCAATAAACTTTCAGAAAGAGAAGAAAAAATCGTTTATTTTCCATTTTGAAAGCATAGATTATTTACATAGACTGCGCATGTGCAGGTACTAGCTAAGAACATGGCGGCTGACAAAAACACCTTACGGTTTTTTCGGGAAATTACCTCTCTGTATGCAAGTTAATACTCTGTAGCTAGCGTAGTATTATTTCATAACTTTGATATACCTTCAACAATTATATAAACACTGTTAAGGTGGTCTAGTACAAAAAAATAATTTTTTGAATAATTGTCGTTATTATATTACGACGGGTGTCACAAACAAGGTTAATGGATACCTATAATAGATCATTCTCTGTCGTTCTATCTCTAAAATACACATCCAAAGCCATGGGGCATTCATGGTTTACTTTGTTAATAGATACATGAAGAAAAGACACCATGAAACTATTCTGGTTGGGAGAAAAAAAGGTTTACGACATAGTTCATTATTATGAAACTTTTGAAATATAACCTGCATGTAATCTGCAGGTAACAAACTACTAAGGTGGTTTAGGGCAAAATTTTGCGCTACTTTTCATTTTCTGTAAAACGATATAAGTTACATAATTTTATGGTGTCCTTAATAACATGCCTGCACTTTCAAACACAAAAATATGCCTTCAACAAAGCATCTTTCGTATGTTTTCCATGTCTCTGGGTAAAACCATGGCTTTGCGAATCGTTGGTTCTATTGAGTATTGTTCTTCCTTTCAATTGCATTTGTTGTATTGTATTTTCTAATTAAATAAGTCATTATAATGATGCAAAAATTTAACGTTGTTTTTCTCAGATACGCGACTTCAACTTCGGGACATTTTTACAACGCCAATACTTCATGCTTTCGTCTAAAATTTTTAGAGTGTGTCTGTGAATAGGAGAGCTAAACAAAAGACTAAAAGAAACTTACCCAGCGACAAACCTCTTTCAGCCACGTCGTCGTCTTGAAGATGTTTATTTCCCCTCAAGCATTCAATTATTAAAGTAAGCATTCTTTACTGAATTTCCCGTTTAGTCAAACAGGTAATCAAAAACATTTTTTATCCTAAAAATAATTTGTCATTCAACGACAATGCAACCAGGTCAAAAGTAACTTTCTCGCTAGGAGATTTAGCAAGAAAAATTTTTAACAACGTATTTTTTTGAAAAGTTCACATGCCGTCGAATCAAGTAAAAATAATTTCTCTTTCAGCGACAAAGCAGTCAAGCCCGAAATATTCGTCAAGGTGTTTATTTCTACTCAACCATTCGATTATTGAAATAAGCATTCTTTACTGAATTTCCTGTTTAATCAAACAAGTAATCAAAACCAGCCCGATATGGGACTCGAACCAATGGCCATCAGATTAAGAGTCTGATGCTCTAACACTGAGCTAACCGGGCAGCTAGTGCTTTTTTGGGAATTAACCAATCAATATTTTTTATCCTAAAAATAATTTTTGATTCAACGACAATGGAAGCAGGTCGAAAGTAACTTTCTCGTTAGGAGATTCAGCGAAAAAATTTTTAGCAACTTTTTTTTATTGAAAATTGCACATGCCTTCTAATCTCCTAAAAATAATTTCTCTTTCAGTGACAAAACTGTCAAGTCTTATATATTTGTCAAAGTCTTTATTTATGATCACTATTCAAGTATTCAAATAAGCATTCTTTACTGAATTTCCAGTTTAATATACAGGTAATCAAAACCAGCCCGATATGGGACTCGAACCCATGGCCCTCAGATTAAAAGTCTGATGCTCTACCAACTGAGCTAACCGGGCACCTATGCAAGATTGTGAAATTAACGAATCAATGTTTTTTATCCTATGAATAATTTTTGATTCAACGACAATGGAAGCAGGTCGAAAGTAACCTTCTCGTTAGGAGATTGATTAAAAATATTTTTACGAACGTATTTTTTTTGAAAATTTCACATGCCTTCTAATCTCTTAAAAATAATTTATCTTTCAGCGACAAAGCTGTCAAGTCGATATGTTTTTCAAGTGTTATTTCTGCTCACGCATTCAATTATTGAAGTAAGTATTCTTTACTGAATTTCCCGTTTAATCAAACAGGTAACCAAAACAAGCCCGATATGGGACTCGAACCCATGGCCCTCAGATTAAAAGTCTGATGCTCTACCAACTGAGCTAACCGGGCAGCTAGTGCTTTCGTTGGAAATTAACCAATCATATTTTTTATCCTAAAATAATTTTTGATTCAACGACAATGGAAGCAGGTCGAAAGTAACTTTCTCGTTAGGAGATTCAGGAAAAAAATTTTTAGCAACTTTTTTTTATTGAAAATTGCACATGCCTTCTAATCTCCTAAATAATTCTCTTTCAGTGACAAAACTGTCAAGTCTTATATATTTGTCAAAGTGTTTATTTATGATCACTATTCAAGTATTCAAATAAGCATTCTTTACTGAATTTCCAGTTTAATATACAGGTAATCAAAACCAGCCCGATATGGGACTCGAACCCATGGCCCTCAGATTAAAAGTCTGATGCTCTACCAACTGAGCTAACCGGGCACCTATGCAAGTGTGTGAAATTAACGAATCAATGTTTTTATCCTATGAATAATTTTTGATTCAACGACAATGGAAGCAGGTCGAAAGTAACCTTCTCGTAGGAGATGGATAAAAAATATTTTTACGAGCGTATTTTTTGAAAATTTCACATGCCTTCTAATCTCTTAAAATAATTTATCTTTCAGCGACAAGCTGTCAAGTCCGATATGTTTTTCAAAGTGTTATTTCTGCTCACGCATTCAATATGAAGTAAGTATTCTTTACTGAATTTCCCGTTTAATCAAACAGGTAACCAAAACAAGCCCGATATGGGACTCGAACCCATGGCCCTCAGATTAAAAGTCTGATGCTCTACCAACTGAGCTAACCGGGCAGCTAATGCTTTCGTTGGGAATTACCAATCAATATTTTATCCTAAAATATAATTTTGATTCAACGACAATGGAAGCAGGTCGAAAGTAACTTTCTCGTTAGGAGATTCAGCGAAAAAATTTTAGCAACTTTTTTTTATTGAAATTGCACATGCCTTCTAATCTCCTAAAAATAATTTCTCTTTCAGTGACAAACTGTCAAGTCTTACTATTTGTCAAGTGTTTATTTATGATCACTATTCAATTATTCAAATAAGCATTCTTTACTGAATTTCCAGTTTAATATACTGGTAATCAAAACCAGCCCGATATGGGACTCGAACCCATGGCCCTCAGATTAAAAGTCTGATGCTCTACCAACTGAGCTAACCGGGCACCTATGCAAATGTTGTGAAATTAACCAATCAATGTTTTTTATCGTATGAATAATTTTTGATTCAACGACAGTGGAAGCAGGTCGAAAGTAACCTTCTCGTTAGGAGATTGATTAAAAAATATTTTTACGAACGTATTTTTTTTAAAATTTCACATGCCTTCTATTCTCTTAAAAATAATTTCTCTTTCAGCGACTAAGCTATCAAGTCTTATATATTTTTCAAAGTTTTTATTTCTGCTTACCCATTCAATTATTGAAGTAAGTATTCTTTAGTAAATTTGCCGTTTAATCAAACAGGTAATCAAAACAAGCCCGATATGGGACTCGAACCCATGGCCCTCAGATTAAAAGTCTGATGCTCTACCAACTGAGCTAACCGGGCAGCTAATGCTTTCGTTGGGAAATTAACCAATCAATATTTTTTATCCTAAAAATAATTTTTGATTCAACGACAATGGAAGCAGGTCGAAAGTAACTTTCTCGTTAGGAGATTCGGCGAAAAAATTTTTAGCAACTTTTTTTTATTGAAAATTGCACATGCCTTCTAATCTCCTAAAAATAATTTCTCTTTCAGTGACAAAACTGTCAAGTCTTACATATTTGTCAAAGTGTTTATTTATGATCACTATTCAATTATTCAAATAAGCATTCTTTACTGAATTTCCAGTTTAATATACAGGTAATCAAAACCAGCCCGATATGGGACTCGAACCCATGGCCCTCAGATTAAAAGTCTGATGCTCTACCAACTGAGCTAACCGGGCACCTATGCAAATGTTGTGAAATTAACCAATCAATGTTTTTTATCGTATGAATAATTTTTGATTCAACGACAGTGGAAGCAGGTCGAAAGTAACCTTCTCGTTAGGAGATTGATTAAAAAATATTTTTACGAACGTATTTTTTTTAAAATTTCACATGCCTTCTATTCTCTTAAAAATAATTTCTCTTTCAGCGACTAAGCTATCAAGTCTTATATATTTTTCAAAGTGTTTATTTCTGCTTACCCATTCAATTATTGAAGTAAGTATTCTTTAGTAAATTTGCCGTTTAATCAAACAGGTAATCAAAACAAGCCCGATATGGGACTCGAACCCATGGCCCTCAGATTAAAAGTCTGATGCTCTACCAACTGAGCTAACCGGGCAGCTAGTACTTTTGTTAGGAAATTAACCAATCAAAATTTTTTATCCTAGAAATAAATTTTGATTCAACGACAATGCAAGCAGGTCGAAAGTAACTTTCTCGTTAGGAGATTTAGCAAAAAATATTTTTAGCAACGTATTTTTTTGAAAATTTCACTTGCCTTCTAATCTCCTAAAAATAATTTCTCTTTCAGCGACAAAGCTGTCAAGTCTTCTATATTTGTCAAAGTGTTTATTTCTGCTCACCATTCAATTATTCAAGTAAGCATTCTTTACTGAATTTCCAGTTTAATATACAAGTAAACAAAACCAGCCCGATATAGGACTCGAACCCATGGCCCTCAGATTAAAGGCCTGATGCTCTACCAACTGAGCTAACCGGGCACCTATGCAAAAGTTGGGAAATTAGCCAATCAATGTTTTTTATCTTAAAAATAATTTTTCATTCAACAACAATGCAAGTAGGTTAAAAGTAACCTTCTTGTTAGGAGATTTAGCAAAAAATATTTTACCCACGCTTTTTTTGAAAATTCACATGCCTTCTAATCTTTTAAGAATAATTTCTCTTTTAGCGAAAAAGCAGTCAAGTCCGATATATTTGTCGAGGCGATTATTTCTCTTCAATCATTAAATTGTTAAAACAAATTATCTTTACTGAATTTTAGGTTTCATTAAACAGGTAATCAAAATCAGCCCTGAATGTTTTTTATCCTAAAAATAATTTTTGATTAAACGACAATGGAAGCAGGTCAAAAGTAACTTTCTCGTTAGGAGATTTAGCAAAAAATATTTTTAGCAACGTATTTTTTTGAAAATTTCACATGCCTTCTAATCTCCTAAAAATAATTTCTCTTTCAGCGACAAAGCTGTCAAGTCTTATATATTTGTCAAAGTGTTTATTTCTGCTCAACATTCAATTGCTCAAATAAGAATTCTTTACTCAATTTCCAGTTTAATATACAGGTAAAGAAAACCAGCCCGATATGGGACACGAACCCATGGCCCTCAGAATAAAAGTCTGATGCTCTGCCAACTGAGCTAACCGGGCACCTATGCAAGTGTTGTGAAATTAACCAATCAATATTTTTTATCCTATGAATAATCTTTGATTCAACGACAATGGAAGCAGGTCGAAAGTAACCTTCTCGTTAGGAGATTGATTAAAAAATATTTTTACGAACGTATTTTTTTGAAAATTTCACATGCCTTCTAATCTCTTAAAAAAATTATCTTTCAGCGACAAAGCTGTCAAGTCCGATATATTTTTCAAAGTGTTTATTTCTGCTCACGCATTCAATTATTGAAGTAAGTATTCTTTACTGAATTTCCCGTTTAATCAAACAGGTAACCAAAACAAGCCCGATATGGGACTCGAACCCATGGCCCTCAGATTAAAAGTCTGATGCTCTACCAACTGAGCTAACCGGGCAGCTAGTGCTTTCGTTGGGAAATTAACCAATCAATATTTTTTATCCTAAAAATAATTTTTGATTCAACGACAATGGAAGCAGGTCGAAAGTAACTTTCTCCTTAGGAGATTTATAAAAAAAATATTTTTAGCAACGCTTTTTTTTTGAAAATTTCACATGCCTTCTAGTCTCTTAAAAATAATTTCTCTTTCAGCGACAAAGCTGTCAAATCCGTTATATTTTTCAAGGTGTTTCTTTCTGCTCAACCATTCAATTATTGAAGTAAGTATTCTTTACTTAATTTCCCGTTTAATCAAACAGGTAATCAAAACAAGCCCTAGATGGGACTCGAACCCATGGCCCTCAGAGTAAAAGCCTGATGCTCTACCAACTGAGCTAACCGGGCAGCTAGTGCTTTTTTTGGGAAATTAACCAATCAACATTTTTTATCCTAAAAATAATTTTTGATTCAACGACAATGGAAGCAGGTCGAAAGTAACTTTCTCGTTAGGAGATTCAGCAAAAAAATTTTTAGCAACTTTTTTTTATTGAAAATTGCACATGCCTTCTAATCTCCTAAAAATAATTTCTCTTTCAGTGACAAAACTGTGAAGTCTTATATATTTGTCAAAGTGTTTATTTTTGATCACTATTCAAGTATTGAAATAAGCATTCTTTACTGAATTTCCAGTTTAATATACAGGTAATCAAAACCAGCCCGATATGGGACTCGAACCCATGGCCCTCAGATTAAAAGTCTGATGCTCTACCAACTGAGCTAACCGGGCAGCTAATGCTTTCGTTGGGAATTAACCAATCATATTTTTATCCTAAAAATAATTTTTGATTCAACGACAATGGAAGCAGGTCGAAAGTAACTTTCTCGTTAGGAGATTCAGCAAAAAAAATTTTTAGCAACGTATTTTTTTAAAAATTGCACATGCCTTCTAATCTCCTAAAAATAATTTCTCTTTCAGTGACAAAACTGTCAAGTCTTATATATTTGTCAAAGTGTTTATTTATGATCACTATTCAAGTATTCAAATAAGCATTCTTTACTGAATTTCCAGTTTAATATACAGGTAATCAAAACCAGCCCGATATGGGACTCGAACCCATGGCCCTCAGATTAAAAGTCTGATGCTCTACCAACTGAGCTAACCCGGCACCTATGCAAGTGTTGTGAAATTAACGAATCAATGTTTTTTATCCTATGAATAATTTTTGATTAAACGACAATGGAAGCAGGTCGAAAGTAACCTTCTCGTTAGGAGATTGATTAAAAAATATTTTTACGAACGTATTTTTGAAAATTTCACATGCCTTCTAATCTCTTAAAAATAATTATCTTTCAGCGACAAAGCTGTCAAGTCCGATATGTTTTTAAAAGTGTTTATTTCTGCTCACGCATTCAATTATTGAAGTAAGTATTCTTTACTGAATTTGCCGTTTAATCAAACAGGTAATCAAAACAAGCCCGATATGGGACTCGAACCCATGGCCCTCAGATTAAAAGTCTGATGCTCTACCAACTGAGCTAACCGGGCAGCTAATGCTTTCGTTGGGAAATTAACCAATCAATATTTTTTATCCTAAAAATAATTTTTGATTCCACGACTATGGAAGCAGGTCGAAAGTAACTTTCTCGTTAGGAGATTCAGCAAAAAAAATTTTTAGCAACGTATTTTTTTAAAAATTGCACATGCCTTCTAATCTCCTAAAAATAATTTTCTCTTCAGTGACAAAACTTCAAGTCTTATATATGTCAAAGTGTTTATTTATGATCACTATTCAATTATTCAATAAGCATTCTTTACTGAATTTCCAGTTTAATATACAGGTAATCAAAACCAGCCCGATATGGGACTCGAACCCATGGCCCTCAGATTAAAAGTCTGATGCTCTACCAACTGAGCTAACCGGGCACCTATGCAAATGTTGTGAAATTAACCAATCAATGTTTTTTATCGTATGAATAATTTTTGATTCAACGACAGTGGAAGCAGGTCGAAAGTAACCTTCTCGTTAGGAGATTGATTAAAAATATTTTACGAACGTATTTTTTTAAATTTCACATGCCTTCTATTCTCTTAAAAATAATTTCTTTCAGCGACTAAGCTATCAAGTCTTATATATTTTCAAAGTGTTTATTTCTGCTTACCCATTCAATTATTGAAGTAAGTATTCTTTAGTAAATTTGCCGTTTAATCAAACAGGTAATCAAAACAAGCCCGATATGGGACTCGAACCCATGGCCCTCAGATTAAAAGTCTGATGCTCTACCAACTGAGCAACCGGGCAGCTAGTACTTTTGTTAGGAAATTAACCAATCAAAATTTTTTATCCTAGAAATAAATTTTGATTCAACGACAATGCAAGCAGGTCGAAAGTAACTTTCTCGTTAGGAGATTTAGCAAAAAATATTTTTAGCAACGTATTTTTTTGAAAATTTCACTTGCCTTCTAATCTCCTAAAAATAATTTCTCTTTCAGCGACAAAGCTGTCAAGTCTTCTATATTTGTCAAAGTGTTTATTTCTGCTCACCATTCAATTATTCAAGTAAGCATTCTTTACTGAATTTCCAGTTTAATATACAAGTAAACAAAACCAGCCCGATATAGGACTCGAACCCATGGCCCTCAGATTAAAGGCCTGATGCTCTACCAACTGAGCTAACCGGGCACCTATGCAAAAGTTGGGAAATTAGCCAATCAATGTTTTTTATCTTAAAAATAATTTTTCATTCAACAACAATGCAAGTAGGTTAAAAGTAACCTTCTTGTTAGGAGATTTAGCAAAAAATATTTTTACCCACGCATTTTTTTGAAAATTTCACATGCCTTCTAATCTTTTAAGAATAATTTCTCTTTTAGCGAAAAAGCAGTCAAGTCCGATATATTTGTCGAGGCGATTATTTCTCTTCAATCATTAAATTGTTAAAACAAATTATCTTTACTGAATTTTAGGTTTCATTAAACAGGTAATCAAAATCAGCCCTGAATGTTTTTTATCCTAAAAATAATTTTTGATTAAACGACAATGGAAGCAGGTCAAAAGTAACTTTCTCGTTAGGAGATTTAGCAAAAAATATTTTTAGCAACGTATTTTTTTGAAAATTTCACATGCCTTCTAATCTCCTAAAAATAATTTCTCTTTCAGCGACAAAGCTGTCAAGTCTTATATATTTGTCAAAGTGTTTATTTCTGCTCAACATTCAATTGCTCAAATAAGAATTCTTTACTCAATTTCCAGTTTAATATACAGGTAAAGAAAACCAGCCCGATATGGGACACGAACCCATGGCCCTCAGAATAAAAGTCTGATGCTCTGCCAACTGAGCTAACCGGGCACCTATGCAAGTGTTGTGAAATTAACCAATCAATATTTTTTATCCTATGAATAATCTTTGATTCAACGACAATGGAAGCAGGTCGAAAGTAACCTTCTCGTTAGGAGATTGATTAAAAAAAATTTTTACGAACGTATTTTTTTTGAAAATTTCACATGCCTTCTAATCTCTTAAAAATAATTTATCTTTCAGCGACAAAGCTGTCAAGTCCGATATATTTTTCAAAGTGTTTATTTCTGCTCACGCATTCAATTATTGAAGTAAGTATTCTTTACTGAATTTCCCGTTTAATCAAACAGGTAACCAAAACAAGCCCGATATGGGACTCGAACCCATGGCCCTCAGATTAAAAGTCTGATGCTCTACCAACTGAGCTAACCGGGCAGCTAGTGCTTTCGTTGGGAAATTAACCAATCAATATTTTTTATCCTAAAAATAATTTTTGATTCAACGACAATGGAAGCAGGTCGAAAGTAACTTTCTCCTTAGGAGATTTATAAAAAAAATATTTTTAGCAACGCTTTTTTTTTGAAAATTTCACATGCCTTCTAGTCTCTTAAAAATAATTTCTCTTTCAGCGACAAAGCTGTCAAATCCGTTATATTTTTCAAGGTGTTTCTTTCTGCTCAACCATTCAATTATTGAAGTAAGTATTCTTTACTTAATTTCCCGTTTAATCAAACAGGTAATCAAAACAAGCCCTAGATGGGACTCGAACCCATGGCCCTCAGAGTAAAAGCCTATGATGCTCTACCAACTGAGCTAACCGGCAGCTAGTGCTTTTTTTGGGAAATTAACCAATCAACATTTTTATCCTAAAATAATTTTTGATTCAACGACAATGGAAGCAGGTCGAAAGAACTTTCTCGTTAGGAGATTCAGCAAAAAAATTTTTAGCAACTTTTTTTATTGAAAATTGCACATGCCTTCTAATCTCCTAAAAATAATTTCTCTTTCAGTGACAAAACTGTCAAGTCTTATATATTTGTCAAAGTGTTTATTTATGATCACTATTCAAGTATTGAAATAAGCATTCTTACTGAATTTCCAGTTTAATATACAGGTAATCAAACCAGCCCGATATGGGACTCGAACCCATGGCCTCCGATTAAAAGTCTGATGCTCTACCAACTGAGCTAACCGGGCAGCTAATGCTTTCGTTGGAAATTAACAATCAATTTTTTTATCCTAAAAATAATTTTTGATTCAACGACAATGGAAGCAGGTCGAAAGTAACTTCTCGTTAGGAGATTCAGCAAAAAAAATTTTTAGCAAACGTATTTTTTAAAAAATTGCACATGCCTTCTAATCTCCTAAAAATAATTTCTTTCAGTGACAAAACTGTCAAGTCTTATTATTTGTCAAAGTGTTTATTTATGATCACTATTCAAGTATTCAAATAAGCATTCTTTACTGATTTCCGTTTAATATACAGGTAATCAAAACCAGCCGATATGGGACTCGAACCCATGGCCCTCAAATTAAAAGTCTGATGCTCTACCAACTGAGCTAACCGGGCACCTATGCAAGTGTTGTGAAATTAACGAATCAATTTTTTTATCCTAATGAATAATTTTTGATTCAACGACAATGGAAGCAGGTCGAAAGTAACCTTTCCGTTAGGAGATGATTAAATATTTTTACGAACGTATTTTTTTGAAAATTCACATGCCTTCTAATCTCTTAAAAATAATTTATCTTTTCAGCGACAAAGGTCAAGTCCGATATTTTTTCAAAGTGTTTATTTCTGCTCACGCATTCAATTATTGAAGTAAGTATTCTTTACTGAATTTCCCGTTTCAAAACAGGTAACCAAAACAAGCCCGATATGGACTCGAACCAGGCCCTCAGATTAAAAGTCTGATGCTCTACCAACTGAGCTAACCGGGCAGCTATGCTTCGTTGGAAATTAACCAATCAATATTTTTTATCCTAAAATAATTTTTTATTCAACGACAATGGAAGCAGGTCGAAAGTAACTTCTCGTTAGGAGATTCAGCAAAAAAAATTTTTTAGCAACTTTTTTTTATTGAAAATTGCACATGCCTTCTAATCTCTTAAAATAATTTCTCTTTCAGTGACAAACTGTCAAGTCTTATATTTTCAAAGTGTTTATTTATGATCACTATTCAAGTATTCAAATAAGCATTCTTTACTGAATTCCAGTTTAATATACAGGTAATCAAAACCTCCCGATATGGACTCGAACCATGGCCCTCAGATTAAAAGTCTGATGCTCTACCAACTGAGCTAACCGGGCACCTATGCAAGCGTTGGAAATTAACAATCAATGTTTTTTATCCTATGAATAATTTTTGATTCAACGACAATGGAAGCAGGTCGAAAGTAACCTTTCTCGTTAGGAGATTGATTAAAAAATATTTTTACGAACGTATTTTTTTGAAAATTTCACATGCCTTCTAATCTCTAAAAATAATTTATCTTTCAGCGACAAACTGTTCAAGTCATATTTTTTCAAAGTGTTTATTTTGCTCACGCATTCAATTATTGAAGTAATATTCTTTACTGAATTTCCGTTTAATCAAACAGGTAACCAAAAAAAGCCCGATATGGACTCGAACCCATGGCCCTCAGATTAAAAGTCTGATGCTCTTCCAACTGAGCTAACCGGCACCTATGCAATGTTGTGAAATTAACGAATCAATGTTTTTTATCCTATGAATAATTTTTGATTCAACGACAATGGAAGCAGGTCGAAAGTAACCTTCTCGTTAGGAGATTGATTAAAAAATATTTTTACGAACGTATTTTTTAAAATTTCACATGCCTTCTAATCTCTTAAAATAATTTTCTTTCAGCGACAAAGCTGTCAAGTCCGATATTTTTTCAAAGTGTTTATTTCTGCTCACGCATTCAATTATTGAAGTAAGTATTCTTTACTGAATTTCCCGTTTAATCAAACAGGTAATCAAAACAAGCCCGATATGGGACTCGAACCCATGGCCCTCAGATTAAAAGTCTGATGCTCTACCCAACTGAGCTAACCGGCAGCTATGCTTTCGTTGGAAATTAACCAATCAATATTTTTTATCCTAAAAATAATTTTTGATTCAACGACAATGGAAGCAGGTCGAAAGTAACTTTCTCGTTAGGAGATTCAGCAAAAAAAATTTTTAGCAACTTTTTTTATTGAAAATTGCACATGCCTTCTAATCTCCTAAAAATAATTTCTCTTTCAGTGACAAACTGTCAAGTCTCTATATATGTCAAAGTGTTATTTATGATCACTATTCAAGTTTCAAATAAGCATTCTTTACTGAATTTCCAGTTTAATATACAGGTAATCAAAACCAGCCCGATATGGGACTCGAACCCATGGCCCTCAGATTAAAAGTCTGATGCTCTACCAACTGAGCTAACCGGGCACCTATGCAAGTGTTGTGAAATTAACGAATCAATTTTTTTATCCTATGAATAATTTTGATTCAACGACAATGGAAGCAGGTCGAAAGTAACCTTCTCGTTAGGAGATTGATTAAAAAATATTTTTACGAACGTATTTTTTTGAAAATTTCACATGCCTTCTAATCTCTTAAAAATAATTTATCTTTCAGCGACAAAGCTGTCAAGTCCGATATTTTTCAAAGTGTTTATTTCTGCTCACGCATTCAATTATTGAAGTAAGTTCTTTACTGAATTTCCCGTTTATCAAACAGGTAATCAAAACAAGCCCGATATGGGACTCGAACCAGGCCCTCAGATTAAAAGTCTGATGCTCTACCAACTGAGCTAACCGGGCAGCTATGCTTTCGTTGGAAATTAACCAATCAATATTTTTTATCCTAAAAATAATTTTGATTCAACGACAATGGAAGCAGGTCGAAAGTAACTTTCTCGTTAGGAGATTCAGCAAAAAAATTTTTAGCAACTTTTTTTTGAAAATTGCACATGCCTTCTAATCTCCTAAAAATAATTTCTCTTCAGTGACAAAACTGTCAAGTCTATATATTTGTCAAAGTGTTTATTTATGATCACTATTCAAGTATTCAAATAAGCTTCTTTACTGAATTTCCAGTTTTATACAGGTAATCAAAACCGCCGATATGGCACTCGAACCCATGGCCCTCAGATTAAAAGTCTGATGCTCTACCAACTGAGCTAACCGGGCACCTATGCAAGTGTTGTGAAATTAACGAATATGTTTTTTATCCTATGAATAATTTTTGATTCAACGACAATGGAAGCAGGTCGAAAGTAACCTTCTCGTTAGAGATTGATTAAAAAATATTTTTACAACGTATTTTTTTGAAAATTTCACATGCCTTCTAATCTCTTAAAAATAATTTATCTTTCAGCGACAAAGCTGTCAAGTCCGATATGTTTTTCAAAGTTTATTTCTGCTCACGCATTCAATTATTAGTAAGTATTCTTTACTGAATTTCCCGTATAATCAAACAGGTAACCAAAAAAAGCCCGATATGGGACTCGAACCCATGGCCCTCAGATTAAAAGTCTGATGCTCTACCAACTGAGCTAACCGGGCAGCTAGTGCTTTCGTTGGAAATTAACCAATCAATATTTTTATCCTAAAAATAATTTTTGATTCAACGACAATGGAAGCAGGTCGAAAGTAACTTTCTCGTTAGGAGATTCAGCAAAAAAATTTTAGCAACTTTTTTTATTGAAAATTGCACATGCCTTCTAATCTCCTAAAAATAATTTCTCTTTCAGTGACAAACTGTCAAGTCTTATATATTTGTCAAAGTGTTTATTTATGATCACTATTCAAGTATTCAAATAAGCATTCTTTACTGAATTTGCAGTTTAATACACAGGTAATCAAAACCAGCCCGATATGGGACTCGAACCCATGGCCCTCAGATTAAAAGTCTGATGCTCTACCAACTGAGCTAACCGGGCACCTATGCTTCGTTGGAAATTAACGAATCAATATTTTTTATTCCTAAATAATTTTTGATTCAACGACAATGGAAGCAGGTCGAAAGTAACTCTTTCTTAGGAGATTAAAAAAAATTTTTACAACGTTTTTTTTGAAAATTTCACATGCCTTCTAATCTCTTAAAAATAATTTATCTTTCAGCGACAAAGCTGTCAAGTCCGATATTTTTCAAAGTGTTTATTTCTGCTCACGCATTCAATTATTGAAGTAAGTATTCTTTACTGAATTTCCCGTTTAATCAAACAGGTAATCAAAACAAGCCCGATGGGACTCGAACCCATGGCCCTCAGATTAAAAGTCTGATGCTCTACCAACTGAGCTAACCGGGCAGCTAGTGCTTTCGTTGGAAATTAACCAATCAATTTTTTATCCTAAAAATAATTTTTGATTCAACGACAATGGAAGCAGGTCGAAAGTAACTTTCTCGTTAGGAGATTCAGCAAAAAAATTTTTAGCAACTTTTTTTTATTGAAAATTGCACATGCCTTCTAATCTCCTAAAAATAATTTCTCTTTCAGTGACAAAACTGTCAAGTCTTATATATTTGTCAAAGTGTTTATTTATGATCACTATTCAAGTATTCAAATAAGCATTCTTTACTGAATTTCCAGTTTAATAACAGGTAATCAAAACCAGCCCGATATGGGACTCGAACCCATGGCCCTCAGATTAAAAGTCTGATGCTCTACCAACTGAGCTAACCGGCACCTATGCAAGTGTTGTGAAATTAACGAATCAATGTTTTTTATCCTATGAATAATTTTTGATTCAACGACAATGGAAGCAGGTCGAAAGTAACCTTCTCGTTAGGAGATGATTAAAAAATATTTTTACGAACGTATTTTTTTGAAAATTTCACATGCCTTCTAATCTCTTAAAAATAATTTATCTTTCAGCGACAAAGCTGTCAAGTCCGATATGTTTTTCAAAGTGTTTATTTCTGCTCACGCATTCAATTATTGAAGTAAGTATTCTTTACTGAATTTCCCGTTTAATCAAACAGGTAATCAAAACAAGCCCGATATGGGACTCGAACCCATGGCCCTCAGATTAAAAGTCTGATGCTCTACCAACTGAGCTAACCGGGCAGCTATGCTTTCGTTGGAAATTAACCAATCAATATTTTTTATCCTAAAAATAATTTTTGATTCAACGACAATGGAAGCAGGTCGAAAGTAACTTTCTCGTTAGGAGATTCAGCAAAAAAATTTTTAGCAACGTTTTTTGAAAATTGCACATGCCTTCTAATCCTAAAATAATTTCTCTTTCAGTGACAAAACTGTCAAGTCTTATATATTTGTCAAAGTGTTTATTTATGATCATATTCAAGTATTCAAATAAGCATTCTTTACTGAATTTCCAGTTTAATATACAGGTAATCAAAACCAGCCCGATATGGGACTCGAACCCATGGCCCTCAGATTAAAAGTCTGTTCTACCAACTGAGCTAACCGGGCACCTATGCAAGTGTTGTGAAATTAACGAATCAATGTTTTTTATCCTATGAATAATTTTTGATTCAACGACAATGGAAGCAGGTCGAAAGTAACCTTCTCGTTAGGAGATTAATTAAAAAAATTTTTACGAACGTATTTTTTTGAAAATTTCACATGCCTTCTAATCTCTTAAAATAATTTATCTTTCAGCGACAAAGCTGTCAAGTCCGATATGTTTTTCAAAGTGTTTATTTCTGCTCACGCATTCAATTATTGAAGTAAGTATTCTTTACTGAATTTCCCGTTTAATCAAACAGGTAATCAAAACAAGCCCGATATGGGACTCGAACCCATGGCCCTCAGATTAAAAGTCTGATGCTCTACCAACTGAGCTAACCGGGCAGCTATGCTTTCGTTGGAAATTAACCAATCAATATTTTTTATCCTAAAAATAATTTTTGATTCAACGACAATGGAAGCAGGTCGAAAGTAACTTTCTCGTTAGGAGATTCAGCAAAAAAATTTTTAGCAACTTTTTTATTGAAAATTGCACATGCCTTCTAATCTCCTAAAAATAATTTCTCTTTCAGTGACAAAACTGTCAAGTCTTATATATTTGTCAAAGTGTTTATTTATGATCACTATTCAAGTATTCAAATAAGCATTCTTTACTGAATTTCCAGTTTAATATACAGGTAATCAAAACCAGCCCGATATGGGACTCGAACCCATGGCCCTCAGATTAAAAGTCTGTGCTCTACCAACTGAGCTAACCCGGGCACCTATGCAAGTGTTGTGAAATTAACGAATCAATTTTTTATCCTATGAATAATTTTTGATTCAACGACAATGGAAGCAGGTCGAAAGTAACCTTCTCGTTAGGAGATTGATTAAAAAATATTTTACGAACGTATTTTTTTGAAAATTTCACATGCCTTCTAATCTCTTAAAAATAATTTATCTTTCAGCGACAAAGCTGTCAAGTCCGATATGTTTTTCAAAGTGTTTATTTCTGCTCACGCATTCAATTATTGAAGTAAGTATTCTTTACTGAATTTCCCGTTTAATCAAACAGGTAATCAAAACAAGCCCGATATGGGACTCGAACCCATGGCCCTCAGATTAAAGTCTGATGCTCTACCAACTGAGCTAACCGGGCAGCTAATGCTTTCGTTGGGAAATTAACCAATCAATATTTTTTATCCTAAAATAATTTTTGATTCAACGACAATGGAAGCAGGTCGAAAGTAACTTTCTCGTTAGGAGATTCAGCAAAAAAATTTTTAGCAACGTTTTTTTTGAAAATTGCACATGCCTTCTAATCTCCTAAAAATAATTTCTCTTTCAGTGACAAAACTGTCAAGTCTTATATATTTGTCAAAGTGTTTATTTATGATCACTATTCAAGTATTCAAATAAGCATTCTTTACTGAATTTCCAGTTTAATATACAGGTAATCAAAACCAGCCCGATATGGGACTCGAACCCATGGCCCTCAGATTAAAAGTCTGATGCTCTACCAACTGAGCTAACCGGGCACCTATGCAAGTGTTGTGAAATTAACGAATCAATTTTTTATCCTATGAATAATTTTTGATTCAACGACAATGGAAGCAGGTCGAAAGTAACCTTCTCGTTAGGAGATTGATTAAAAATATTTTTACGAACGTATTTTTTTGAAAATTTCACATGCCTTCTAATCTCTTAAAAATAATTTATCTTTCAGCGACAAAGCTGTCAAGTCCGATATGTTTTTCAAAGTGTTTATTTCTGCTCACGCATTCAATTATTGAAGTAAGTATTCTTTACTGAATTTCCCGTTTAATCAAACAGGTAATCAAAACAAGCCCGATATGGGACTCGAACCCATGGCCCTCAGATTAAAAGTCTGATGCTCTACCAACTGAGCTAACCGGGCAGCTAATGCTTTCGTTGGGAAATTAACCAATCAATATTTTTTATCCTAAAAATAATTTTTGATTCAACGACAATGGAAGCAGGTCGAAAGTAACTTTCTCGTTAGGAGATTCAGCAAAAAAATTTTTAGCAACGTTTTTTTTGAAAATTGCACATGCCTTCTAATCTCCTAAAAATAATTTCTCTTTCAGTGACAAAACTGTCAAGTCTTATATATTTGTCAAAGTGTTTATTTATGATCACTATTCAAGTATTCAAATAAGCATTCTTTACTGAATTTCCAGTTTAATATACAGGTAATCAAAACCAGCCCGATATGGGACTCGAACCCATGGCCCTCAGATTAAAAGTCTGATGCTCTACCAACTGAGCTAACCGGGCACCTATGCAAGTGTTGTGAAATTAACGAATCAATGTTTTTTATCCTATGAATAATTTTTGATTCAACGACAATGGAAGCAGGTCGAAAGTAACCTTCTCGTTAGGAGATTGATTAAAAATATTTTTACGAACGTATTTTTTTGAAAATTTCACATGCCTTCTAATCTCTTAAAAATAATTTATCTTTCAGCGACAAAGCTGTCAAGTCCGATATGTTTTTCAAAGTGTTTATTTCTGCTCACGCATTCAATTATTGAAGTAAGTATTCTTTACTGAATTTCCCGTTTAATCAAACAGGTAACCAAAACAAGCCCGATATGGGACTCGAACCCATGGCCCTCAGATTAAAAGTCTGATGCTCTACCAACTGAGCTAACCGGGCAGCTAGTGCTTTCGTTGGGAAATTAACCAATCAATATTTTTATCCTAAAATAATTTTTGATTCAACGACAATGGAAGCAGGTCGAAAGTAACTTTCTCGTTAGGAGATTCAGCAAAAAAATTTTTAGCAACTTTTTTTTATTGAAAATTGCACATGCCTTCTAATCTCCTAAAAATAATTTCTCTTTCAGTGACAAAACTGTCAAGTCTTATAATTTGTCAAAGTGTTTATTTATGATCACTATTCAAGTATTCAAATAAGCATTTTTACTGAATTTCCAGTTTAATATACAGGTAATCAAAACCAGCCCGATATGGGACTCGAACCCATGGCCCTCAGATTAAAAGTCTGATGCTCTACCAACTGAGCTAACCGGGCACCTATGCAAGTGTTGTGAAATTAACCGAATCAATGTTTTTTATCCTATGAATAATTTTTGATTCAACGAATGGAAGCAGGTCGAAAGTAACCTTCTCGTTAGGAGATTGATTAAAAATATTTTACGAACGTATTTTTTTGAAAATTTCACATGCCTTCTAATCTCTTAAAAATAATTTATCTTTCAGCGACAAAGCTGTCAAGTCCGATATGTTTTTCAAAGTGTTATTTCTGCTCACGCATTCAATTATTGAAGTAAGTATTCTTTACTGAATTCCCGTTTAATCAAACAGGTACCAAAACAAGCCATTGGACTCGAACCCATGGCCCTCAGATTAAAAGTCTGATGCTCTACCAACTGAGCTAACCGGGCAGCTATGCTTTCGTTGGAAATTAACCAATCAATATTTTTTATCCTAAAAATAATTTTTGATTCAACGACAATGGAAGCAGGTCGAAAGTAACTTTCTCGTTAGGAGATTCAGCAAAAAAATTTTTAGCAACTTTTTTTTTGAAAATTGCACATGCCTTCTAATCTCCTTAAAAATAATTTCTCTTTCAGTGACAAAACTGTCAAGTCTTATATATTTGTCAAAGTGTTTATTTATGATCACTATTCAAGTTTCAAATAAGCATTCTTTACTGAATTTCCAGTTTAATATACAGGTAATCAAAACCAGCCCGATATGGGACTCGAACCCATGGCCCTCAGATTAAAAGTCTGATGCTCTACCAACTGAGCTAACCGGGCACCTATGCAAGTGTTGTGAAATTAACGAATCAATGTTTTTTATCCTATGAATAATTTTTGATTCAACGACAATGGAAGCAGGTCGAAAGTAACCTTCTCGTTAGGAGATTGATTAAAAAATATTTTTACGAACGTATTTTTTTGAAAATTTCACATGCCTTCTAATCTCTTAAAAATAATTTATCTTTCAGCGACAAAGCTGTCAAGTCCGATATATTTTTCAAAGTGTTTATTTCTGCTCACGCATTCAATTATTGAAGTAAGTATTCTTTACTGAATTTCCCGTTTAATCAAACAGGTAACCAAAACAAGCCCGATATGGGACTCGAACCCATGGCCCTCAGATTAAAAGTCTGATGCTCTACCAACTGAGCTAACCGGGCAGCTAAGTGCTTTCGTTGGAAATTAACCAATCAATATTTTTTATCCTAAAAATAATTTTTGATTCAACGACAATGGAAGCAGGTCGAAAGTAACTTCTCTCGTTAGGAGATTCAGCAAAAAATTTTTAGCAACTTTTTTTTATTGAAAATTGCACATGCCTTCTAATCTCCTAAAAATAATTTCTCTTTCAGTGACAAAACTGTCAAGTCTTATATATTTGTCAAAGTGTTTATTTATGATCACTATTCAAGTATTCAAATAAGCATTCTTTACTGAATTTCCAGTTTAATATACAGGTAATCAAACCAGCCCGATATGGGACTCGAACCCATGGCCCTCAGATTAAAAGTCTGATGCTCTACCAACTGAGCTAACCGGGCACCTATGCAAGTGTTGTGAAATTAACGAATCAATGTTTTTTATCCTATGAATAATTTTTGATTCAACGACAATGGAAGCAGGTCGAAAGTAACCTTCTCGTTAGGAGATTGATTAAAAAATATTTTTACGAACGTATTTTTTTGAAAATTTCACATGCCTTCTAATCTCTTAAAAATAATTTATCTTTCAGCGACAAAGCTGTCAAGTCCGATATTTTCAAAGTGTTTATTTCTGCTCACGCATTCAATTATTGAAGTAAGTATTCTTTACTGAATTTCCCGTTTAATCAAACAGGTAATCAAAACAAGCCCGATATGGGACTCGAACCCATGGCCCTCAGATTAAAAGTCTGATGCTCTACCAACTGAGCTAACCGGGCAGCTAATGCTTTCGTTGGGAAATTAACCAATCAATATATTTTTTATCCTAAAAATAATTTTTGATTCAACGAAATGGAAGCAGGTCGAAAGTAACTTTCTCGTTAGGAGATTCAGCAAAAAAATTTTTAGCAACGTTTTTTTTGAAAATTGCACATGCCTTCTAATCTCCTAAAAATAATTTCTCTTTCAGTGACAAAACTGTCAAGTCTTATATATTTGTCAAAGTGTTTATTTATGATCACTATTCAAGTATTCAAATAAGCATTCTTTACTGAATTTCCAGTTTAATATTACGGTAATCAAAACCAGCCCGATATAGGACTCGAACCCATGGCCCTCAGATTAAAAGTCTGATGCTCTACCAACTGAGCTAACCGGGCACCTATGCAAGTGTTGTGAAATTAACGAATCAATGTTTTTTATCCTATGAATAATTTTTGATTCAACGACAATGGAAGCAGGTCGAAAGTAACCTTCTCGTTAGGAGATTGATTAAAAAATATTTTTACGAACGTATTTTTTTGAAAATTTCACATGCCTTCTAATCTCTTAAAAATAATTTATCTTTCAGCGACAAAGCTGTCAAGTCCGATATGTTTTTCAAAGTGTTTATTTCTGCTCACGCATTCAATTATTGAAGTAAGTATTCTTTACTGAATTTCCCGTTTAATCAAACAGGTAATCAAAACAAGCCCTATATGGGACTCGAACCCATGGCCCTCAGATTAAAAGTCTGATGCTCTACCAACTGAGCTAACCGGGCAGCTAATGCTTTCGTTGGGAAAATAACCAATCAATATTTTTTATCCTAAAAATAATTTTTGATTCAACGACAATGGAAGCAGGTCGAAAGTAACTTTCTCGTTAGGAGATTCAGAAAAAAAAATTTTTAGCAACGTATTTTTTTAAAAATTGCACATGCCTTCTAATCTCCTAAAAATAATTTCTCTTTCAGTGACAAAACTTTCAAGTCTTATATATTTGTCAAAGTGTTTATTTATGATCACTATTCAAGTATTCAAATAAGCATTCTTTACTGAATTTCCAGTTTAATATACAGGTAATCAAAACCAGCCCGATATGGGACTCGAACCCATGGCCCTCAGATTAAAAGTCTGATGCTCTACCAATTGAGCTAACCGGGCACCTATGCAAGTGTTGTGAAATTAACGAATCAATGTTTTTTATCCTATGAATAATTTTTGATTCAACGACAATGGAAGCAGGTCGAAAGTAACCTTCTCGTTAGGAGATTGATTAAAAAATATTTTTACGAACGTATTTTTTTGAAAATTTCACATGCCTTCTAATCTCTTAAAAATAATTTATCTTTCAGCGACAAAGCTGTCAAGTCCGATATGTTTTTCAAAGTGTTTATTTCTGCTCACGCATTCAATTATTGAAGTAAGTATTCTTTACTGAATTTCCCGTTTAATCAAACAGGTAACCAAAACAAGCCCGATTGGGACTCGAACCCATGGCCCTCAGATTAAAAGTCTGATGCTCTACCAACTGAGCTAACCGGGCAGCTAGTGCTTTCGTTGGAAATTAACCAATCAATATTTTTTATCCTAAAAATAATTTTTGATTCAACGACAATGGAAGCAGGTCGAAAGTAACTTTCTCGTTAGGAGATTCAGCAAAAAAATTTTTAGCAACTTTTTTTATTGAAAATTGCACATGCCTTCTAATCTCCTAAAAATAATTTCTCTTTCAGTGACAAAACTGTCAAGTCTTATATATTTGTCAAAGTGTTTATTTATGATCACTATTCAAGTTTTCAAATAAGCATTTTTTACTGAATTTCCAGTTTAATATACAGGTAATCAAAACCAGCCCGATATGGGACTCGAACCCATGGCCCTCAGATTAAAAGTCTGATGCTCTACCAACTGAGCTAACCGGGCACCTATGCAAGTGTTGTGAAATTAACCAAACAATGTTTTTTATCCTATGAATAATTTTTGATTCAACGACAATGGAAGCAGGTCGAAAGTAACCTTCTCGTTAGGAGATTGATTAAAAATATTTTTACGAACGTATTTTTTTGAAAATTTCACATGCCTTCTAATCTCTTAAAAATAATTTATCTTTCAGCGACAAAGCTGTCAAGTCCGATATGTTTTTCAAAGTGTTTATTTCTGCTCACGCATTCAATTATTGAAGTAAGTATTCTTTACTGAATTTCCCGTTTAGTCAAACAGGTAACCAAAACAAGCCCGATATTGGACTCGAACCCAAGGCCCTCAGATTAAAAGTCTGATGCTCTACCAACTGAGCTAACCGGGCAGCTAGTGCTTTCGTTGGGAATTAACCAATCAATATTTTTTATCCTAAAAATAATTTTTGATTCAACGACAATGGAAGCAGGTCGAAAGTAACTTTCTCGTTAGGAGATTCAGCAAAAAAATTTTTAGCAACTTTTTTTATTGAAAATTGCACATGCCTTCTAATCTCCTAAAAATAATTTCTCTTTCCGTGACAAAACTGTCAAGTCTTATATATTTGTCAAAGTGTTTATTTATGATCACTATTCAAGTTTTCAAATAAGCATTCTTTACTGAATTTCCAGTTTAGTATACAGGTAATCAAAACCAGCCCGATATGGGACTCGAACCCATGGCCCTCAGATTAAAAGTCTGATGCTCTACCAACTGAGCTAACCGGGCACCTATGCAAGTGTTGTGAAATTAACGAATCAATGTTTTTTATCCTATGAATAATTTTTGATTCAACGACAATGGAAGCAGGTCGAAAGTAACCTTCTCGTTAGGAGATTGATTAAAAATATTTTTACGACGTATTTTTTTGAAAATTTCACATGCCTTCTAATCTCTTAAAAATAATTTATCTTTCAGCGACAAAGCTGTCAAGTCCGATATATTTTTCAAAGTGTTTATTTCTGCTCACGCATTCAATTATTGAAGTAAGTATTCTTTACTGAATTTCCCGTTTAATCAAACAGGTAATCAAAACAAGCCCGATATGGGACTCGAACCCATGGCCCTCAGATTAAAAGTCTGATGCTCTACCAACTGAGCTAACCGGGCAGCTAATGCTTTCGTTGGGAAATTAACCAATCAATATTTTTTATCCTAAAAATAATTTTTGATTCAACGACAATGGAAGCAGGTCGAAAGTAACTTTCTCGTTAGGAGATTCAGCAAAAAATTTTTAGCAACTTTTTTTTATTGAAAATTGCACATGCCTTCTAATCTCCTAAAAATAATTTCTCTTTCAGTGACAAAACTGTCAAGTCTTACATATTTGTCAAAGTGTTTATTTATGATCACTATTCAATTATTCAAATAAGCATTCTTTACTGAATTTCCAGTTTAATATACAGGTAATCAAAACCAGCCCGATATGGGACTCGAACCCATGGCCCTCAGATTAAAAGTCTGATGCTCTACCAACTGAGCTAACCGGGCACCTATGCAAGTGTTGTGAAATTAACGAATCAATGTTTTTTATCCTATGAATAATTTTTGATTCAACGACAATGGAAGCAGGTCGAAAGTAACCTTCTCGTTAGGAGATTGATTAAAAAATATTTTTACGACCGTATTTTTTTGAAAATTTCACATGCCTTCTAATCTCTTAAAAATAATTTATCTTTCAGCGACAAAGCTGTCAAGTCCGATATATTTTCAAAGTGTTTATTTCTGCTCACGCATTCAATTATTGAAGTAAGTATTCTTTACTGAATTTCCCGTTTAATCAAACAGGTAATCAAAACAAGCCCGATATGGGACTCGAACCCATGGCCCTCAGATTAAAAGTCTGATGCTCTACCAACTGAGCTAACCGGGCAGCTAATGCTTTCGTTGGGAAATTAACCAATCAATATTTTTTATCCTAAAAATAATTTTTGATTCAACGAAAATGGAAGCAGGTCGAAAGTAACTCTCTCGTTAGGAGATTCAGCAAAAAAAATTTTTAGCAACGTATTTTTTTGAAAATTGCACATGCCTTCTAATCTCCTAAAAATAATTTCTCTTTCAGTGACAAAACTGTCAAGTCTTATATATTTGTCAAAGTGTTTATTTATGATCACTATTCAAGTATTCAAATAAGCATTCTTTACTGAATTTCCAGTTTAATATTCAGGTAATCAAAACCAGCCCGATATAGGACTCGAACCCATGGCCCTCAGATTAAAAGTCTGATGCTCTACCAACTGAGCTAACCGGGCACCTATGCAAGTGTTGTGAAATTAACGAATCAATGTTTTTTATCCTATGAATAATTTTTGATTCAACGACAATGGAAGCAGGTCGAAAGTAACCTTCTCGTTAGGAGATTGATTAAAAAATATTTTTACGACCGTATTTTTTTGAAAATTTCACATGCCTTCTAATCTCTTAAAAATAATTTATCTTTCAGCGACAAAGCTGTCAAGTCCGATATATTTTTCAAAGTGTTTATTTCTGCTCACGCATTCAATTATTGAAGTAAGTATTCTTTACTGAATTTCCCGTTTAATCAAACAGGTAATCAAAACAAGCCCGATATGGGACTCGAACCCATGGCCCTCAGATTAAAAGTCTGATGCTCTACCAACTGAGCTAACCGGGCAGCTAATGCTTTCGTTGGGAAATTAACCAATCAATATTTTTTGTCCTAAAAATAATTTTTGATTCAACGAAAATGGAAGCAGGTCGAAAGTAACTCTCTCGTTAGGAGATTCAGCAAAAAAAATTTTTAGCAACGTATTTTTTTGAAAATTGCACATGCCTTCTAATCTCCTAAAAATAATTTCTCTTTCAGTGACAAAACTGTCAAGTCTTATATATTTGTCAAAGTGTTTATTTATGATCACTATTCAAGTATTCAAATAAGCATTCTTTACTGAATTTCCAGTTTAATATTCAGGTAATCAAAACCAGCCCGATATAGGACTCGAACCCATGGCCCTCAGATTAAAAGTCTGATGCTCTACCAACTGAGCTAACCGGGCACCTATGCAAGTGTTGTGAAATTAACGAATCAATGTTTTTTATCCTATGAATAATTTTTGATTCAACGACAATGGAAGCAGGTCGAAAGTAACCTTCTCGTTAGGAGATGGATTAAAAAATATTTTTACGAACGTATTTTTTTGAAAATTTCACATGCCTTCTAATCTCTTAAAAATAATTTATCTTTCAGCGACAAAGCTGTCAAATCCGATATGTTTTTCAAAGTGTTTATTTCTGCTCACGCATTCAATTATTGAAGTAAGTATTCTTTACTGAATTTCCCGTTTAATCAAACAGGTAACCAAAACAAGCCCGATATGGGACTCGAACCCATGGCCCTCAGATTAAAAGTCTGATGCTCTACCAACTGAGCTAACCGGGCAGCTAGTGCTTTCGTTGGGAAATTAACCAATCAATATTTTTATCCTGAAAATAATTTTTGATTCAACGACAATGGAAGCAGGTCGAAAGTAACTTTCTCGTTAGGAGATTCAGCAAAAAAATTTTTACCAACTTTTTTTTATTGAAAATTGCACATGCCTTCTAATCTCCTAAAAATAATTTCTCTTTCAGTGACAAAACTGTCAAGTCTTATATATTTGTCAAAGTGTTTATTTATGATCACTATTCAAGTTTTCAAATAAGCATTCTTTACTGAATTTCCAGTTTAATATACAGGTAATCAAAACCAGCCCGATATGGGACTCGAACCCATGGCCCTCAGATTGGAACCATTTCAGCAGACTACCTCCGAAATTACGGTTTTGGAGGTAGTCTGCTGAAATGGTTCCAATCGTATTTATCAGGCCGTCGCCAGCGTGTAACAGTACTTGGTGCCACCTCAAACACTCTTCCTGTATCATCAGGTGTTCCACAAGGATCAATTCTTGGACCAGTTTTGTTTCTGTTATATGTTAATGATCTTTTTGAATCAGTCAATACGTCCCAAGTAGCAATGTTCGCTGACGATACGAAATTGTTCTCTAACATTAAATGCCAGGAGGATTCTACGTTACTTCAGAAAGATCTCAAAAAGCTGGAACACTGGTCATCTACATCTGGTCTGACTTTTAATAAAGAGAAATGTAAGCAGCAACGTATAACCAGAAAGATTAAACCAATATCATCTGAATACAATTTAATCGACCACCAATTACATCGAACTAAAATTGAGAAGGATCTTGGAGTATGCGTATCGTCCAACCTTACGTGGAATGCACAAGTTCATCAACAGGCATCTAAAGCTAACAAGTTGCTAGGCTACATTAGAAGAAACACAATGTTTATCTCGAGTTCAGCACCAAGACGGACATTATATCTCGCATTAGTTCGTTCTCACTACGGCTACTGTTCGCAGATTTGGGCACCACAAACCATTGAACTCATTAACTTATTAGAAAGAACACAGAGACGTGCAACGAAATATATCCTCAACCTTCCATTTTCGACAGATGAAACGTACAACACAAGATTGCAAACCCTACACCTTCTTCCTATATCCTACTGGCATGAATACCTTGACCTAACCTTCTTCTTCAAAATTACTCATGGCATGATCGAAACGACTGTTTCCCCTGTCATCCAAAACTCACGTAGAAAAACAAGATCCTCATCAAGTAACAACACTAAATATGATGTTCCTAGATGTAAGACCACAACCTACCAACAGTCATTTCTTATCAGATCATGCCGCATATGGAACGCACTCGTGGATGAGTTGGATTTTGATACGAACAGTTATAGTTATTTCAAAACAGTCTTGCTAAGATATTATTATAAATCTTTAGCAGTGAATTATGACTCTGAAAATCCTCGAACATTCAAAACGATATGCCTAAAATGTAACTTGGCGCGTAGTCTTGCGTGTCCAATATCCTGCTGTTGTTAGATAATACGAGAATGAGAGTTGATAAGGTCTATTAACCTATATATATATATATATATATATTCGACGTGAATTTCTATTTCATTCAGTTTTATAAATTGACTGATCGAGGTGATTAGTTTTCATATTTACTCGATCTTATCCACTCTTGGTCTGATGTTGTATTAACTTTGTTTCTTTGTTATATGTTTGTTATGTTGTGCTTTGTTGTTATGTTAAGTAATTATTCGGTCCGCGGTAATTGGCAACTAGCTGTTGCGGCTCCCGTGTCAATTTATTGTTATTACATTGGCAAAGTTATTAAATTAAATTAAAAGTCTGATGCTCTACCAACTGAGCTAACCGGGCACCTATGCAAGTGTTGTGAAATTAATGAATCAATGTTTTTTATCCTATGAATAATTTTTGATTCAACGACAATGGAAGCAGGTCGAAAGTAACCTTCTCGTTAGGAGATTGATTAAAAAATATTTTTACGAACGTATTTTTTTGAAAATTTCACATGCCTTCTAATCTCTTAAAAATAATTTATCTTTCAGCGACAAAGCTGTCAAGTCCGATATGTTTTTCAAAGTGTTTATTTCTGCTCACGCATTCAATTATTGAAGTAAGTATTCTTTACTGAATTTCCCGTTTAATCAAACAGGTAACCAAAAGAAGCCCGATATGGGACTCGAACCCATGGCCCTCAGATTAAAAGTCTGATGCTCTACCAACTGAGCTAACCGGGCACCTATGCAAGTGTTGTGAAATTAATGAATCAATGTTTTTTATCCTATGAATAATTTTTGATTCAACGACAATGGAAACAGGTCGAAAGTAACCTTCTCGTTAGGAGATTGATTAAAAAATATTTTTACGAACGTATTTTTTTGAAAATTTCACATGCCTTCTAATCTCTTAAAAATAATTTATCTTTCAGCGACAAAGCTGTCAAGTCCGATATATTTTTCAAAGTGTTTATTTCTGCTCACGCATTCAATTATTGAAGTAAGTATTCTTTACTGAATTTCCCGTTTAATCAAACAGGTAACCAAAACTAGCCCGATATGGGACTCGAACCCATGGCCCTCAGATTAAAAGTCTGATGCTCTACAAACTGAGCTAACCGGGCAGCTAGTGCTTTCGTTGGGAAATTAACCAATCAATATTTTTTATGCTAAAAATAATTTTTGATTCAACGACAATGGAAGCAGGTCGAAAGTAACTTTCTCGTTAGGAGATTCAGAAAAAAAAATTTTTAGCAACTTTTTTTTATTGAAAATTGTACATGCCTTCTAATCTCCTAAAAATAATTTCTCTTTCAGTGACAAAACTGTCAAGTCTTATATATTTGTCAAAGTGTTTATTTATGATCACTATTCAAGTATTCAAATAAGCACTCTTTACTGAATTTCCAGTTTAATATACAGGTAATCAAAACCAGCCCGATATGGGACTCGAACCCATGGCCCTCAGATTAAAAGTCTGATGCTCTACCAACTGAGCTAACCGGGCACCTATGCAAGTGTTGTGAAATTAACGAATCAATGTTTTTTATCCTATGAATAAATTTTGATTCAACGACAATGGAAGCAGGTCGAAAGTAACCTTCTCGTTAGGAGATTGATTAAAAATATTTTTACGAACGTATTTTTTTTGAAAATTTCACATGCCTTCTAATCTCTTAAAAATAATTTATCTTTCAGCGACAAAGCTGTCAAGTCCGATATATTTTTCAAAGTGTTTATTTCTGCTCACGCATTCAATTATTGAAGTAAGTATTCTTTACTGAATTTCCCGTTTAATCAAACAGGTAATCAAAACAAGCCCGATATGGGACTCGAACCCATGGCCCTCAGATTAAAAGTCTGATGCTCTACCAACTGAGCTAACCGGGCAGCTAGTACTTTTGTTAGGAAATTAACCAATCAAAATTTTTTATCCTAGAAATAAATTTTGATTCAACGACAATGCAAGCAGGTCGAAAGTAACTTTCTCGTTAGGAGATTTAGCAAAAAATATTTTTAGCAACGTATTTTTTTGAAAATTTCACATGCCTTCTAATCTCCTAAAAATAATTTCTCTTTCAGCGACAAAGCTGTCAAGTCTTGTATATTTGTCAAGGTGTTTATTTCTGCTCACCATTCAATTATTCAAGTAAGCATGCTTTACTGAATTTCCAGTTTAATATACAAGTAAACAAAACCAGCCCGATATAGGACTCGAACCCATGGCCCTCAGATTAAAGGCCTGATGCTCTACCAACTGAGCTAACCGGGCACCTATGCAAATGTTTTTTATCTTTAAAATAATTTTTCATTCAACAACAATGCAAGTAGGTCAAAAGTAACCTTCTTGTTAGGAGATTTAGCAAAAAATATTTTTACCCACGCATTATTTTGAAAATTTCACATGCCTTCTAATCTTTTAAGAATAATTTCTCTTTTAGCGAAAAAGCAGTCAAGTCCGATATATTTGTCGAGGCGATTATTTCTCTTCAATCATTAAATTGTTAAAACAAATTATCTTTACTGAATTTTCCGTTTCATTAAACAGGTAATCAAAATCAGCCCTGAATGTTTTTTATCCTAAAAATAATTTTTGATTCAACGACAATGGAAGCAGGTCAAAAGTAAGTTTCTCGTTAGGAGATTTAGCAAAAAATATTTTTAGCAACGTATTTTTTTGAAAATTTCACATGCCTTCTAATCTCCTAAAAATAATTTATCTTTCAGCGACAAAGCTGTCAAATCCGTTATATTTTTCAAGGTGTTTCTTTCTGCTCAACCATTCAATTATTGAAGTAAGTATTTTTTACTTAATTTCCCGTTTAATCAAACAGGTAATCAAAACAAGCCCTAGATGGGACTCGAACCCATGGCCCTCAGAGTAAAAGCCTGATGCTCTACCAACTGAGCTAACCGGGCAGCTAGTGCTTTTTTTGGGAAATTAACCAATCAACATTTTTTATCCTAAAAATAATTTTTGATTCAACGACAATGGAAGCAGGTCGAAAGTAACTTTCCCGTTAGGAGATTTAGCAAAAAATATTTTTAGCAACGTATTTTTTTGAAAATTGCACATGCCTTCTAATCTCCTAAAAATAATTTTTCTTTTAGCGACAAAGCTGTAGAGTCTTATATATTTGTCAAAGTGTTTCTTTCTGCTCACCATTCAATTATTGAAATAAGCATTCTTTACTGAATTTCCCGTTTCATTAAACAGGTAATCAAAATCAGCGCGACATGGGAGTCGAACCCATGGCCCTGTGATTAAAAGTTTGACGCTCTACCAACTGATCTAACCGGGCAGCTAGTGCTTTTGTTTGGAAATTAACCAATCAATGTTTTTTATCCTAAAAATAAATTTTGATTCAACGAAAATGCAAGGAGGTCGAAAGTAACTTTCTCGTTAGGAGATTTAGCAAAAAAATATTTTTCGCAAGGCATTTTTTTGAAAATTTCACATGCCTTCTTATCTCATAAAAATAATTTCTCTTTCAGCGACAAAGCTGTCAAGTCCGATATATTTTTCAAAGTGTTTATTTCTGCTCACCCATTCAATTATTGAAGTAAGTATTCTTTACTAAATTTCCCGTTTAATCAAACAGGTAATCAAAACAAGCCCGATATGGGACTCGAACCCATGGCCCTCAGATTAAAAGTCTGATGCTCTACCAACTGAGCTAACCGGGCAGCTAGTACTTTTGTTAGGAAATTAACCAATCAATATTTTTTATCCTAAAAATAAATTTTGATTCAACGACAATGGAAGCAGGTCGAAAGTAACTTTCTCGTTAGGAGATTTAAAAAAAAATTTTTAGCTACGTTTTTTTGAAAATTGCACATTCCTTCTAATCTCCTAAAAATAATTTCTCTTTTAGCGCCAAGCTGTAGAGTCTTATATATTTGTGAAAGTGTTTATTTCTGCTCACCGTTCAATTATTGAAATAAGTATTCTTTACTGAATTTCCCGTTTCATTTAACAGGTAATCAAAATCAGCGCGATATGGGACTCGAACCCATGGCACTCAGAATAAAAGTCTGATGCTCTACCAACTGAGCTAACCGGGCAGCTAGTGCTTTCGTTGGGAAATTAACCAACCAGTAATGTTTATCGTAAAAATAATTTTTCATTCAACGAAAATGCAAGCTGGTCAAAAGTAACTTTCTCTTTAGGAGATTTAGCAAAAAATATTTTAAGACACGCATTTTTTTACTGAATTTCCCGTTTAATCAAACAGGTAATCGAAACCAGCCCGATATGGGGCTCAGACCGATGGTCCGCAGATTAAGAGTCTGATGCTCTTCCAACTGAGCTTTTTCTGGGACACTATATACAATGACTGAATGGGAATAGCACGGCAGCCGAATCGCAAAAGCGTAGGTTTGATTCCTGCCAGTGGTCCGTTTGTTGACTCATTTTTGTATTGCAACTGTTCCTGCATGGCTTGAAGTTGAATTGTGTATAATTTCACTCGAAATTAAGACCCTTTAGACCTCTAGAATTTACCTACATCCAGTGAAGTGCTAAAATGGATTTACCCTCACCTATTCTTAAACTTAACCATGCACCGTTTTAATCTAAACGGGCTTGATGCGACAGGTGTCACCCGAAATTTATGACTTGCGAATTATATGAGTGTCGCAGTTCTGGGCATGCGCTAATGCGCGCATAAGTTACATTCTGTTCATAAATTTCGCAAGTTATTTACTGTTCAACACGTATTCTCTGACTTGTCTCAAAGGAAGATTTTTCGAAGTTTTTAAGTGGAAGAAGTGCTGCACTTCCTAAAATCAGGATGCCAGGAGCCTACTCATGTTGCCACTCTTGACAAAGTCGCAAGGAAAAAATATCCACACGCTGTCTCAATTCTCGAGAAACTTTAAATATGAAGGTATGTCTAGCCGTTTAATAACTTCGCATTGAGGCATCGCATCATAATAATATGTGATATGATCTTATAAATTTTATTATTGTTATTTGTTTTACAGCTCTTATTATTCATTTGGCTTTTATAGCTCTTATTATTCATTTTGCTTTTATAGCTCTTAATATTCATTTAGTTTATATATATATTTACCCTTTATGTACACATTCAATAGTGAATCTGATAATTTGCAAGAAAGATGATGGTGAAGAATGGCTTGGGTCGATAATCAATAGTATTTTAGCTATTTAAATAGCCTTCAATGATGTTTTATCTGTCCTAGTAAATCTTTGCTTTACACTTATTCTCGATTAACTACCGAAACTTACTGAAGTTTTGATCAAAATTAGCCAAAACCGTTTGTCGCACTCGGCCGCTGAATCATAGATTTCGCAATCGTCATGTTTTTCGCTCGAGTAAGCCGCTAAATTCGTGACTCGTCTCGCGTGGTCATGTATTTCGTAATGGTCATGAATTTCGCTTGACACCGGCTCCAGATCTCTAATCTGTCGCCTTAACCATTCGGCCACGACTACATCGATGCACGTTTTTTTTGGCACGCGCGCTTTTTTATGCATGATTTTTTGCCCGAATATAATAACATGTTGATTGTATAATCTTTCGGAATGTGATTTTTCACTGTGAAGAAAAACTCTGAAAAACAATAAATTATAAAACTACAGCTTGGGACCTAAAATTATGAAAGACAATCCCAAATTGATAGGAATACTAAGGTGTAATCAAAATTACAGCGGACAACGGGCAATTTTGTAGCCATACCCAAAATTTTTACAACCGGTCCCAGATGCAGCTCTGTCTCCGGCGCATGTTTTTGTTTTAATATAATTGTGTTTGTGTCTCGCGGAAGGACACCAGCGAAGCCACAGCCACGGGTTTCCCTCGCTTTAGGGGTATGTCAAGAATTTAATAATATCATATATTGCAACTGAAATGTAAAAACCCAAAACTTGTTTTCACTTATTTTTCTAAGAGGACTATATAGCTAGTTACTTGCCACAATAGCTGGAGGAGGGCCGCGCAAACCTGAGCCTAGTTTTACGAATTGCGTTTAGTGAATTTACGTTATATAACTTTGAATATAGGTTCGAAAAGGTTATTCTCCATTACCGTTCGCTTTACCCGTGCGGGCGTTTCGGCCTTTGAAATTCTGCTCATGGGATCGTCACGGGCGTTAAAAAACAAAGCGCGCGGACCTTTCCTAAAATTTGTGGGTAGACGCAAGGAATGGGCGAAACGTAGGTCCGTGCTCAGACTAGGAAGAGAACTTGTGTTTTTCGACACCAATACAACGATATTGTTTAGGACTACGAATGCGATCATATTCCAGTCTCGCACCCATGCGCATTTATCAAAAACGAAGGTAGTTCATATAGTTTGCATTCAGCTATGTAGAGATCTTTATAACCTTTGTTTTCCTAAAAAGCGCCTGGGTTTGTACCAGGCTGATCATATTCACTTTCAATTTAATTAAAATATACGAGAAAACTATATTAAAATTATTCGAAGTGAAATTATTAGAAGTAACCCGAGTTTAGCAATATACTTTTATTTAAGAAATTATTTTGCAATTCAAAGCCCGGTTTTCATTACACTAGATCAATGATTATTGGTCCAGCACGGCACGGCTGTGGTGAAATTAGTTAGGAACGACACCAATAGACCTTTCCCCTTTTAGCTTTCAAACGCGCGATGCCGACGGTAGTTCATTCTCAATGTCAATTTGAGTTGTGATTTCGCCATGATCAGGAGCGTTGTTTTGTCGCCGAAAAGAAGCAAAAAGAACCGCCAACGTTTTCTTACAAAAAAATCGCTGCTAAGCAGAGTGATATCGCTACTCAAAGTTGCTTGATAATCAACTACCGTCACGCATTGCGCGCTTGAAAGCTAAAAAGGGGAAATGTCTATTAAAAACAATGCCAACTCAATCGTTTACAATTGTTCATTTAGACATTCAGTTTCTTTTTAGGCGATTTGACAACGTTTTCTGTCATGCTGTTGTTAATTTGAAAGTTTTAGTAAGAAGAAACCTTTCAAAATTTTACCTTCAACTAGCTGAAATCAGTTTATTCCCTTGTAAAAGTTGCAAATCAAGTTACATGCACTCTGTATATCATTTATATGGTAGACTGCGGTTAGCGGGTTTCTTGGACCCAATTTCTTACCACGGCACAGCTAAATTTGATTGCCTCACACCAATTTTGAATATCCGTGACTGCATTGTTGATTTTACTTGGTGCGAATTTCTGCACGGATCCTGATATTGTAAAATCGTCTACAAATTTGAATTGATCATCAACACTGGTGGTACTTAGGTCATTGATAATTAGAACAAAAAGCCATGCAGGGACCAAGTTTTGTTCCCTGCGGAACATCAACAGGAACATTCATTCCCCCATTCTGAAAAGCTCAAAGTCTTCTCCAAGTTTAAATCGTTGTTGTCTGTTGGTCAGGAAACCGTTTCCGCAGGGGCGCCGTGGGTGTGCTAATGTAGGGGTGGCCAAAGGCAACATTATTCCGACCAGCACGTTTTTTTCCGACATCTTTATAAGAAAAAAGTAACGAATATTGATAAAACTGACAGGGGGTTTTGGGCAAGGACGCGCATGCAGTTGCTATGACAAAGATCACGAGCTACGTCTACTAATTTAAATTGACGCTTTATGCACAATGAATATGACAGATAAATATTCACGTTTTACATACGCTTTTCAATTGAGTAGTTGAATAATTTTTGATACAGCTAACTGTTTGTGGGAAAACTGTATTACAGAGATTTCTAATCCACGTGCATTAACAAATAACGCGATAGGTTATTTCAGGATACTCTATTACAGCTTTGTAATCTTAGTGGATGAGCATACAGCGTATTCTATATACGCAACATTTGTTTATAACCAAAATATAAACATATTCGCAATTGCTTCAATCCTCTCATCAGTTTAGTTCTTCCGCTGTACTATCGTGGTACCTTATATCTTTGTATAAACTTCAGGAAGCGTTTGACTAAAAGTACTAACTTGAAAAGGATTTGCTGTAGCTCCAGCATTCTGATACGGAACATGCTGGTGTTCTTTAGACGGTCACCATATAATGCAATAAACTGTATAAACTCACTGAACAATAAATGCGGTCGAAGTTACATCGCCATTCATGATTTTATCGCGCCAATCTCCGACATTTCGAAAATTACATCCCTTGCGTAATGTTATATTAATAGAAAATATGTTTTTCGGAAACCGGAAACGTTCGGAAGAAACAGCTAGTTTAGCCTGCGCGACAACAGTATAATAAAAAATTGGGGTAGTGTTGTACCGTATAATATTAGAAGTAACTGCGTCTATTTTCTGATAGTTCAAATACTTTTGGGTTGTTCAGCATAACACAGCCACAAATGCAAAAATAACTTAGTCTCTGTTATGATTGATATACTCCGACAACATGCAATGTTCGTAAATTTCCGACAGGTTTTAATCCTGGGGGGGCCATGGCCCCCTCTGGCCCCCCCGGCCAAGGCGCCCCTGCAGTTTTGAGAGGATCGGCGTAAGAGAGATGGGGCGGAGTTGTTGTTTTATGTGCTCAACTGGTGTCGATTTTGGAATTGGGACTACGTTAGCTAGTTTCCAAATCATTGGAAGTTGGTTCTTCTTAAATGAGCAGTTCAGTATTTTTGTGACAGGTAACGCCAAAAGAACCGCATTTTCTTTAAGCAGCCAAGGAGGAATGTCATCGGAGCACTTGCTTTGGAG